CTTCCTTCCTTCCTTCCTTCCTTCCTTCCTTCCTTCCTTCCTTCCTTCCTTCCTTCCTTCCATCCATCCATCCATCTATCTATCTACCTATCTGTCATCTATCCATCTTCTATGATTATTTCTTTATTGATCAAATATTTATTCCAATTGATACAACGTGGCTTACAACATAATATGAGGGGCTTACAACATAAATGCTTATACCTACTGCGATGCCTGTAGCTATGCTTATATTATACATATCACAAATTGTGTATCATAATATGCCATTATGTATAAATAATGAAGCCCTCTTCTCACCTACAAACCCTCCTAGAGGAGTCAGTCTTGGACAGGAAGCTGACTTTTGTACTTTGCTTCACTAAATGCAGCCAGTGTTGTGCTACCAAGAGAGACTCTGACGGAATATGCAAGGGCAGGGATGTCCTTACCCATCCATTTTCATAAGGAAGCCTCAGAACATGTGTAATTGGGTCATTTTGAGGCCCAGTGAATAGAGTAAGCTGGAACATGATTGCCCACCATCCGTTACTGTTTCTGACATCCAAATCTATCCCTAGATGGGTACCTTCTTCTGTGTCATGCAACACCAAACTGATCTGCAAAAGAGAATTGTTTAATGAGCTTTGCACCAGACAAATCAAAGCGGAGCAAAGTGAAAAGGGCCTTGTCACAAAATTATGCAAATTGGCTTAAATTCAAGTAAGACATGTGCACAGTTCACGATTGGTTTAATTGAAGTTTCCAGAAGAAAACACGGCACCTACTGAGATACAAAAGAGATCTCCAGCTAAGTCAAGCATAAGCCAAAAACACAACCTTTAGTCTACCTCCTTGTACATTAGGAGCGCACCCAAGAGATGTCACAGTCATTGTGCTATCATTCGAAGCGATGGGCATGACACCCGTGCACTTTTGTTCAAACACACAAATTCTTATTTTTTCTATCCCCAATTCTAGTCTTTTTTTAAACTAGTTTATAATATAAAATACAAAAATGCAACAGCAAATAGGAAAAATAAAGGAATGAAAAAGGAAGAGAGAAGCATAAAGAAGAAGGGAAAAAGAAAGAAAAGTTTTTTGACTTCCAACTCCCTTTGGTGCAGTAGAATAAGGCATGAACATCAAGACTCAACTTTTTTTTTTTTTTTTGCTTTTGTATAATAGTATAAACTATAGGGATGCAGTGACTCAGTGGCTTAGACGCTGAGCTTGTTGATTAGAAAGGTCGGCTGTTCGGAAGTTCGAATCCCTAGCACCGCGTAATAGAGTGAACTCCTGTTACTTGTCCCAGCTTCTGCCAACCTAGCAGTTCAAAAGAACGTTTAAAAAATGCAAGTAGAAAAATACGGACCACTTTGGTGTGAAAGGAACAGCATTCTGTGAGCCTTTGACAGCATTTAATCATGCCGGCCACATGACCACGGAGACATCTTCGGACAGCACTGGCTCTTTGGCTTTGTAACGGAGATGAGCAGTGCCCCCCTAGAGCCGGACAACAACTAGCACGTATATGCGAGGGGAACCTTTGCCTTCACCTAATAGTATAAACTACCCATTTCTATAACAAGGTCAGCGTTCCAGGGAAAATCCATTCCTGTCGGTAACTCCAAAACAACCATAATCTCAAAGTACTTTTATTAGAACAGAACCTGGCACATTCTCTGGAATTCCAAAACTAAAAGTTTACCCCGGACTTCCCACAAGTCCCAACCTACAAACCATTCCCATTTTCTCATCATCCCATCTCATGAACCAATCCCAATTTCAGTTCTAATTCTCTCTGAGCCACATGCTAGGTCCTTGAATTAAACAAAATAATTTATTTTGTCTACTAAGAGCTACTCAATTAATATCACCTCTCCCATTTCCTAAGCTATGTGGCAGCGATGAATTATGATTTCACAGCTGACAAACAACAGATCTAGCTCATCAGTAAAAACCCAAAATCAAAGGGTTTTTTTTTTCCCAGTTTAAGTACAAAATCCAGAAGTGGTATCCAAGTAGAAACAAAAGTATTTGGTTTTTTTTTTCTTTTATCAAAACAGTCAATTTAGCAAGTGGTGGTGTGGCCTAAAGGTAGATCTTTTGCCTCACAATCAGGAGGCTTTGAGTTCGATCCTAGGTAGGGGCAGATATTTCCCTCTCTGAGCACACTGAGGATATATCTGCTGAAGAAAAAAAAAAACCTCTGTATTGGCAACAAGAAGGGCATCTGGCCAGTAAACACTTGGCTCCATTCAGTTGCCCAGACTCCATCCTGCAAGGAATTATGGGGTCATTAAAAAGGGATGATGAAAACAGCCAATTTAAACATCTTTGCTAACTCCATCAGTCTTTACAATCATTCATCCATTGTGGGAATTGAAGCGTCCTTCCACACAAACTGCGGTCAATTGTGTTGCAACCTGAGAAAGAAAAATGATTATTATTTTTTTAAAAAAATCTGCTTTTGGAGAAGGACCTAGTTTCTAAAATGTGCTAAACTTCATGAAGAAAGAAGCACTAAGTGTTGGAGAATTATCCTTTGTAAGCAACTATTCTTGAAATGGCATTTGAATGAAAGGAAACAAAGCAAAACAAAGCACTTCATTTAGGAAATAACACAAAACCTTTCTTTCGTAAGTATTTTTTTTTCCCAAGTAAGAGCTGTGGCGTAGGCTTCTTTGTTATGGTGAGAAAGTAAATCAGGTGAGAATCTGAAAAGCACAAGTTAAATGTGGAAGAAAAAGAAAACTTATGACAGTCTGAGACTATAATTCTTTCCCATCCTTTCTCCATTTTTTGTTTTAACCCTGGAAGTTATTTTCAGACCTCATACCTAGCATTAAAAAAAAATGCTCAAAGTTTGAAAATTTCACAAATCCATTTACTCCTAACATAACAACCTACATTTCACAACTTGGACGACAACAGCAAAAGAGCAGTCTGGCAGCCGAATTGGGTGTAGAGATTCCCGCTACTGTAAGTGCTATGGTGCACTGCCCAAAGTTAACAAAATTGTGTTTATTTACCATCATAAGTTCCCATGGACCCCTAGTTGATAAAGTATGGTCCAACTGATAGGAAACACATTAAATAGACATATGCAAAGTACATCTTGGCGAAAGGAGGTAAACAATTCAGAGTTTCTCTGATAAGTATCTGTGCCTTTGCTACTCTTACTGATCAATATTTTAGCGGTGGAAAAAAGGCCATGCAACTGACACTGCTTTCCAAGAAGCTCTTGAACAAGGTCTTGTGAGTTGACCTCATGCTCAGAAGCATGGTAAAATAGAACAGAACAGTTTGAAGGGACCCTCTAGGTCATCTAGTCCAACCCCCAACCCAAGCAGTACACTCCATACCATTATGACATGTGGCAATCCAGTCTCTTCTCGAAAGCCTCCAGGGATGAAGGTCCCACAATTCTGAAGGCAACTTCTGTCCATAGGTTGATTGTTCTCACTGTCAGAAAATTCCTCCTTATTTCCAGGTTGAATCTCTCCTCAATCAGTTTCCATCCATTGTTCCTTGTCTGACCTTCAGGTGCTTTGGAAAATAGCTTGACCCCCTCCTCCTCTCTGTGGCAGCCCCTCAATATAATAAATAAATCAAGTCATTGTTATTTTAGTTAGTAAAAGAAAAGATGTATTACAGTAGCAATTTTTTTAAAAAAAATGTTAACAGATGTTTTAAAATGTAGGGATTACTTGCCCCTCTTAGGGAGGCCACTATCCTGCAAAATTATCTGTCTAAAGGTTATTTGTCCATAAAGCACCATCAAGTTTGGACAACGCACATGTAGAATTTAAATGTACAGCCCCTTGTCTGAAATGGTAAACAGTCTCATGCTTGAGAAGGGGTGGGGTTGGACTAGAAGACCTCCAAGGTCCCTTCCATCTCTCTCTCGCGCCCTCCCTCTCTCCCTCTTTAATCATCATAGGTTAGTGTCCATGTTAGGCTTATGTTAGAACAGGTAGCACGCACTGATTAAATTTTTTCCTCTTCAAGCATAGGGGGAGGTTTTACACACACACACTTCCTCCTCTTCCTCTTCCTCTTCTTCTTCTTCTTCCCACATAATCCCTTGTTGGATTATGTCCCTTGCTGGGCAACTGAATGGAGCTAGCAGAGCATTTTAATGGCCGGATGCCCTTCCTGTCACCATTGCAGAATTTTGTGCAGCAGATAGGTTCTCAGTGTGCCCAGAGAGAGAAATACCTGCCTCTACCTAGGATCAAACTCACAGCCTCCTGATTGTAAGCCGAGAGCTCCACCTTTCAGCCACTGCACCAGTGTGTGTGTTTGTGTGTGTGTGTATTATGTATGTATGTATCAATATGTTCTAGACTGCAACTAATTCTAGGCTGTATTTAAGATACATAGATAATGCTTCAAATTAATTTTGCAAAAGGCTTGTTCAACAAGTTGCTTGCACTACAACAGAATAAATTGATCTAGATACAGTCACACTTGCTATTATGAAGCTGCTTGGATTTTCCTTCCTATTAACACACAATAAAAGAATTAACTCAATCTAAGAGCATTACCGACTATTTGATAGTCACAATCATGATAACTTGTGAAGGACTTCAGAATTGTGTCACACTAATCTTCGAGGATCTCCAAGCAAATTGTTAACAGCAAACTGCACAGAAATAAAAGTGCTAATTGATTTTAATAGATAGTTGCAGAGCAGATGTATTGTATTCCAATAAACTCCCTGCAGTTCAAAGCTTCACCTTTTTGGAGATGGTGGTGAGTTCAATATTATTTCACGAAGAAATATTATGATCCTTGTTAGAAAGAAGGCTCAGTCGGGGCAAGATTGTGGAAGGTTATTGCTTGCAAGAATTTTATAGTGATAGCATCAAATTCTCAAGGAGGTGGTACTGAATCAAATTTTAACAAGCATTACACATCTGAGAAATAATAATGGGAATAAAACACATTGCCTTGAAACTAAATCATAAGGTATAAATAATTTTTCCCCCCTTGGAAGCTGACATTTATGGAACTGAATTTTTGGAAGCTATGTTTTCAACCCTTTTTCATACAATGGCCAATAGGTGTTTTGTTGGATTACATAGGGGATTATTGTAAGACTTTAGCATCGATAGTGGATATAATTACGAATCAACTGCCCATTAATTAGGGATACTTGAGAAACCAAATGAGAATGCATTTATATTTATGTACCTTGTCCATCAACTGTACCCATCTATTTGGAAATTATCTATGGCCCATGGAGATTTTCTGTATGTATTCTATTTATTTATTTGTACACCACCTTTATTATTTTTACAAACAACAGAAGGTAGCAAATGCATTCAATACACCTTCCTCCTATTTTCCTCACAGCTACAATCCTGTGAAGTGTTGGGCTGAGAGAGGACTGGCTCAAGGTCACTCAGGTGGTTTTCATACCTAGGGCTGGACTAGATCTCACTGTCTCCTGGTGATTAGCCCAAAGTCACTCAGGTAGTTTTCATACCTAGTGCTGGACTAGAACTCTCTGTCTCTTGTTGATTAGCCCAAAGTCATCCAGCTAGCTTTCATGCCTAGGGCTGGACTAGAAGTCATCATCTCATGGTGATTGGCGCAAAGTCACCCGCCTGACATTTGTGGCTAAGGTGGAACTAGAACTCATAGTCTCCTGCTTTCTAGTCCGTCTTGCAAAAGTGGTGTCCAGTTGTACAAGAAAGGAGAAATATGTTTAGAACTATTAAATGTCCAGTATTTCATATTTAAGTGGACCTATAGTTTCTATAAGAGCATGTGAAGGAAGACCTGAAATATTGCCATTTGGTGCCCTAAGATCATCTTGTGGTTAACAAAAAACCCTCTGCATGCTTTCTTGGATTGAGATAGGACAGGTGACAATTTAGGATGACTTCTCTAATCCATCCATTTGTTTCCAGGCTCCAAAAAAAAAAAAAAGAAAAGAAAAGAAAAGAAAAGAAAAGAAAAGAAAAGAAAAGAAAATGACAAAAAATAAGAATGGAAAAAATGTGACTCAAAAGCAAAAATGCAAGATAAAAATGTGGTTGTTCTGGAGAGCAATGAGTAAATAAATAATTACTCATCTCATTTTCAACCTGGAAGTGTCTACCAGACACTCAACCCATGGGCTTATGCACTGGATTGAGACATTTTGCCAACGTGCCAACAATAAAACAACTTATAAGGATTCTCCTTACATGCTGCAGACCTTGTTAATGTATAAATTTTACTGCGTAGTTTTCCCCAGACTTCAAATTCTATGTTGTGTCCAAATTTTTTTGCCCATGCTATCATAGACCCTTTCTTACTGTGTTTCCCTGAAAATGCAACTTACCCCACAAATAAGTCCTAGTTTCATTTTTGCACATGCGCCCAATATAAGCCCAACCCCCAAAATAAGCCCCAGCTAAGACCCACATAGGTAAAAATTGCTTGGAGATGCCATACCTATCAGGTCTTGAACCCCCTGATACCTGCCTTGCCTTGCAGGTCCACTTCTTCTGAGGGCACTTGTCACCACTCGTGTGTGTCACCCCATGGCCTCCATTTCACCATCAGAAGCCTTCTGGAAAGGCCTCTGCAGCCAATAACAGAGCTCCAGATTGATTAGTAATGAGCCAATAATTAGATATCCACCCTCCCCCCAAAATAATACCTGGTACCTATTTTGGTGACCAAAAAAATATAAGACTGGGTCATATTTTGTGGGAAACATGGTATATCGCAGTGACCACAACAGAATGCAATATTCCAGGTCTTCCAAAATTCCAATATTCCAAGCTGCAATGAGTACATTCTAGAGTTACATACCAGCAACACCTGCTTTCTGAATTCAGACAATAATAGAGTGCTTGTGAGAGAGTTTTTGGTTCACTCAATGGGAAAAACTGTCTACCTTCCTGTGCCTTGCTCCTTGATGCTCAGAGGTTTCAAAAGCCAGTAGGCAGCATTGAAAGGGAGTCACTGGACCATTAAAACAGGGAAAGGTTATGCATTTGGCATTCATACATTAAAATCCCTTGGTTGGAAAAGTGATTGACAGGTGAATCCTCAAATCAGTGTGAGTTTTACAGTTATGCTGCCACTGATCTTTTCAATGAAGGGAGGGAGAGCAAACTAGAAAGATTGTAAATGCTGGCTCATCTGTTAGTCTCTTCAGCCCTGTCTTTGGAACCTGGTAGAGATTTTTTCTGTAATACCATCTACCTCATTGGAGAACAGCTGGCAATGCTGGCTGAGATTGAAAAAAATAAACTAAAAATAAGCTAAGCCAAGTTGGGAGTCCATTGGAAGAAATCCAGATGGCACACTAGGACACACCATATACCAGAAGAAAACACACACCAACCGCTACCTCAACGCCCAATCCCACCACCACCTAGCACAGATAAACTCCATGGCCAAAACACTAATCATCAGAACTAAACGCCTGGCAGACAAGACACAGATAAAGACTGAACTATGCACCCTGAGTAAAGTACTGACAGCTAACGGCTTCCACAAAAGCAAAATCACCGGCTTGATCCACAAAAATACACTGAAACATAATGGAGACCTAGAAGATGAACCGACCTATGGAACAGCTGTCCTGCTCTACATAAGAGGTACTACAGACAAAATCAGTAAGATATTACACAGGCATCACATCAAGACTGCCTTCACAACAGACAGAAAAATAGCAGCCATCCTAAAAAAACCCAAAGATAAAATTGACCTGGAAAAGAAAGGCATATATGAAGCCTCCTGTGCATCATGCCCTGCCACATACATTGGACAGACCAATAGAAGAATAAGTGCCCACCTGGATGAACACAAAAATGCAATAAAAAAGCTGGAACACACTTCCTCACTAGTCCAACACATGAAAGCCACGGGTCATAGCATCAACTTCAATGGCACCAAAACCCTAACCACTATAGAAAACCCCAGCCACAGAATTATCAGAGAAGCCATAGAGATTGAAAAAAGACCTGAAAGCATGAATAGAAGAGATGATTCCACCAGATTGTCAATTATTTGGAAGTCTGCACTCACAAACAAAAAAATCTCCACAGCACAAGCCAGGCAAACACCTGGGCACAAACAGACCCCCCCCCGGATACCTCCAGCTCAAACACACCCCAACTAGGCACCCAGATGAAACCTAGCTTCCTAATAAATGATAGCCGTCCATTTATTCAGAGCCAAGCTGCACTAAAAGCCTCCAATACAGGAACACAATGTTGCCAGCCAATCAAGACAAAAAAAGCCACAAAACAGACAGAAGATATTAGAAACACCAATCAAGCAGAACACAGCAAATTCCAAGACCAATAAACACAGATCAAGACTCCCAACCAATCAGGATGAAGAAAAAAGCCATTCTGGCACAGCAGTAGGCTAGCCCCAAATTTAAAACTGAAAAGGCTGTGAAAGTCTGACTCACAGACAAACACAATACAGAAGCCTGATGATGGCAGATGAGATTCTGCCGAAACGTTGCTACAATTTTAAAAGCACAACTATAATGACATGGTAAAATACCCAAACAAAGCTGAATACCACACACACACACACACACACACACACACACACACTTGATCCAATATATTTTACCCTTATTTCATCCAATATATTTGATCCATATTTTATCTAGCCTTTCCAAGGACCTGAAATTGATGATGTTGTTTGATATGGTGTTCAAGATTTTGCCATAGGATGTAAGCTGTTCCAAGTAAAGCTGCCTTTTGCAATTGACAAATAGTGACTTTGTCAATGCTGGCAGTATTTAAGTGGTGCTCTAGTTGCTTTTGTCTTTGCATCTGAGGTCCCTATTATTAATGGTACTACCTTATTATTATTGGTATTTTACTTTTACTTTCTTGTTTCATTTTAATTGTTGGACACTACCTAGAGTTGTGAGCTGTGATTGTGATTGAAGTTTATCTGATTAATCAATAAACATATAACCACATAATCAGGGGTGGGATTCAATTTTTTTAACAACCGATTCTGTTGGCGTGGCTTAGGTGATAGGTGTGGCTGGTAGTCATGTGACTGGGTGGACATGGCTTGGTGGTCAGGTTATTGGCTGGGTGTGGCCAACTCAATATCATTCACATCGAGGCATGCATCTCCTGGCCTCTCATGACTGTGGGGATGCTGCAACAGTCGTAAGTGTGAAAAAGGGTCATAAGTCACTTTTTTCAGTGCCACTGTAACTTTGAATGGTCACTCCACACAAGCAAAGTACCAGCAAAGGAGGGGAAAAAAACTCCAGAGACATTCCTGAGATAGGAAGTCTAGTCCTGCCAAGAATATAATAAGGGTTAATGGAGAGGCAATTTCTGTAAGCAATACCAGAATGTTTCCTTCCTGCCTTCCTTACAGGATTAGGCCAATAATTTCTTCCAACAACCAGTTCTCCAAACTGCTTAGAATGTTAACAACCAGTTCTAGCGAATAGGTCAAACTGGTAGAATCCCACCCCTGCACATAACTCATCATCTTCTTCATTTAATGACCCCATACTCCCTTGTGGGGTGGAATCTAGCATAATGTTTTAATGGCTGGATGCCCTTCCCATTGCTAATGAAGAGTTTTGTTCAGCAGATATATTCTCAGAGTGCCCAGAGAGAGAAATATTTGCCTCTATCTAGGATCAAACTCACAGCCTCCTGAGCTCCATCTCTTAGGCCACTGCACCACTCCAGATAATAACATAACTCCCTTGGGCAAAGCTATTAGATCTTAGTTGCAAAATAAGACAACAGTTAATTCATTTTTCAATGCCTTTGGCTTTCCTAGTCCATATTAGTCTTATGTATTGCAGTTGAGAAATCTAGTCCTTGTGGCTTGTGATGAAAGTTTAAGCCAAATTTTGGGCTATTTTTTTGTGATGCATTTTTTTTTCTTTTTTGCAATTAACAAGTTATGCCTTTTTTTTTTTTTAGGAAAAGGGAGCTAATGGTAAAATTTGTCTCTTGAGAAAGCTACAAATTGAATGATATCAAAGCAATATTTAAATTCATATTTTTAATTGCAGATCAGGACAGAATTAGAATGAATGATGAGTTTCTAAAGGTTCACACTCTTTGATTGGTAAAGATAAAAAGTGCACTCAGTAATACTCGAAGAATATAATCACTTGAAGATATGTTGTCAAGGAAAATCCTTACAATACTTTTATGAGATGTATTTAAAAATCTTAATATTTCAATATTTGTAACTTGGGTTGAAAATATTAGTAATAATAATTACTATTACTATTAACCTTTTTGCTATTAACCTTCTCATCACTCCTTAATCACCCATCCCCTTCCACTTGTGACTGTATGACTAACTTTGTCGCTTGTATCCTTACAATTTATATTGACTGTTTCCTAGTATGAGTTGGTTGCCTATGACTATTATTAAGTGCTGTACCTTATGATTCTTGATGAATGTCTCTTTTTTTTTATGTACACTGAGAGCATTTGCACCAAGACAAATTCCTTGGTGTGTCCAATCACACTTGGACAGTAAAGAATTCTATTCCATTCTATAATAAAGGTCAAGGAAAATCAGGAATTGGTTAGCACGATTTGATGGTGAACTGAATTATTTTTGGTTGAAGCATGTGACTGGTCTACAGTCACTCATTGCCAAGTAGTTAAATAACATACAGGTAGACCTTGACTTACAATAGTTCATTTAGTGACCATTCAGAGTTACAATGACACTGAAAAAAGTGACTTATGACCATTGCAGCATCCCCTGAAGTCACATGATTTACTTTAGGATGCTTGACAATTGGTTCATATTTATGATGGTTGCAGTGTCCCAGGGTCATGTTCTATTCTCTGAATGATGTCAACTTTGATGGTATCTAGCCACTAATATTCATTGGAAAAAAGGCTCAACCTGCTCTCCCATGTTTAATGCATAAAAGTTTCTCCATTGTTTGAGAACTCTCTAAAGAGATCTCTTGTGTATGTTGCTATTGTTTTTCACTTGAACTCTGCTACATAGGGAGGGAGGGAGGGAGAGGGGAGGAGGAATCGAGAGAAAATAAGGGAGAAGGAGGGAGGGAAGAAAGGGAGAAAGGGAGGGAGAGAGGGAGGAAGGAAATGTAGTTGGAAGGAAGGGAGGGGAGTAAGGAAGGAAGTAGGAATCTAGAGAAAATACGGGAGAAGGAGGGAGGGAGGAAAGGAAGAAAGTAAGGGAGGGAGGAATGGTGGGAGAGAGATAGAGGAAAGAAATGTAGTTGGAAGGAAAGAGGGAGGGAGGGAAGGAGGGAGGGAAGGAACAGATGGAGGAAGGAAGTAGGAATTTAGAGAAAATAAGGGAGAAGGAGGGAGGGAGGTTGGAGAGGAAAGGAGGAGAGATGGAGGGAGAAAAGAAGGGAGGGAGGGAGGAAGAGAGGGAGGGAAGCTGGGAGAAATGGAGGAAAGAAATGTAGTTGGAAGGAAGGAGGGAAGGAAGGAAGGAGTGAAGGAACGAAGGAAGGAATTCTATTTCTCATGATTCTTTACTTCCAGTAATTACTTTGAATTTTATGTTCCTGTCAAGGTGAGTCAGAACTATTATTAAATATTGCTGAAACAAGATTTGCCTAGAAATATCCAATCTTCAGGCTTCTGAAAGTGCCTATTTACAGACATTGTATACAACCCAATAAACCACTGACTACTGTGCCTGAAATGGTCATAAATGGAATTTAGCTGTCTTGTCGGTCTTAAATATTAGTTTTAATTAATCTCGACACCAGCTTGCTAAAAATACTGCTTGGTGTCCCATTGAACCTATTATTGAAAGATATTAAGGTATATTGTGTTTCCCACAAAAAGTGAGGGCAGCTTGAAAGTAATGCTTGCTACTGAATCAACTTGATAGAACCCTCTTCTGGTACAAGCAATTACCTAGATACTGATATGATTCAATGGGAGGCAGGTGATATAATCCAATGCAAGCAAAAACTCTAAAGTGAGACGCTTTTAGTAAAGGAAGTGGAGCATACGCCCATAAAGTACAGTCAGTTGCAAACTAAAATAAATGGTACGTACAGAATGGCAGGTAACTAAAACTTGCTTTAAGTAGCCAATGAGGTCAGGACAGCCAATAGGTTTGGTGCATAGACTTATCAGAGACTCAGACTAAACATTAAATGGAACTTTGAATGAAATAGAGTAATAGCACTATAGGACTTAGACTTATATACTGCTTCACAGTACTTTACAGCCTTCTCTGAGTGGTTTACAGAGTCAGCCTCTTGCCCCCAACAATCTGAGTCCTCATTTTACCCACCTCAGAAGGATGGAAGGCTGAGTCAACCTTCAAATTCCTGGCAGTCAGCAGAGGTAGCCTGCAATACTGCATTCTAACTATGGGGAGGGAAGGAAGGAAGGAAGGAAGGGCATTAGCAATAGCACTTAGACTTATATACTGCTTTGCAGTGCTTTACTGTCCTCTTTAAGTGGTTTACAGAGTCAGCATCTTCACCCCCAACAATTTGGCTCCTCATCTTACCAACCCCCGAAGATCCAATCTGGGTTGCTAACTGGGACCATTTATGGGGTGCAATTCTATTGGTTGATTGGTGTGTTGATGGCTGTTGACTGACAAGAAGTCATTAGTCTTATAATTAATAATTACAAGAATCAGGGAAATGGGCCCCTCATCAGTCAACAGGAATGCTGCTTTATCGCCAGCTTATTGAGTATTTGGGAGCCGAGGGCTTGGCAACACAAGGAAATAATAGCCAATCGCCAGCCATCATCACAACAATCAACCAATAGGAAGGCACCACATAAATGGCCCCAGTGACTAACCCAACTTGGATTTTCTTAGATTGGTAAAGTGTTCAGGTAAAAAAGAAAAAGAGGAGGAGAGAAAAAAAGGAAAATTAAGAATATAGTAAAGAAAGAACAAAATACATAAATAAAGAATAAATATGGAAAAACGCATAACTCTTATCACAAGTAAAGTAAATGTCTGGATATTTACATGCATTCCTCAGCTACATTTGTCTGTTTGTCTCTGTCTCCATCCATCCATCTGTCTGTCCGTCCATCCATCTATCATCTATCTATTATATCTCTCTATCATCTTTCATATATCAATCTCTATCTACCTGTCTGTTTGTCTGTCTATCTTTTATCTATCTATCATCTAGTTATCGTTATCTATTTATCATCTATCATCAAGCTATCTCTATCCATGCATCATCCATCTGTCTGTCTGTCTGTCTGTCTGTCTGTCTGTCTGTCTATCTATCTATCTATCTATAATTCTATCATATATTTATCATCTAGCTATCATATCTATCTGTCTATCATGTATTTATCTCTATCCATCCATCCATCCATCCATCCATCCATCCATCCATCCATCCATCCATGTGTGTCTGTCTCTATCTATCTATCTATCTATCTATCTATCTATCTATCTATCTATCTATCTATCAATCTATCTATCATCTATCTATCTATCTATCTATCTATCTATCTAATCTATTTTTCCTATTTGAAAAAAAGGATATATAAAATTAGGTGGAAAAAGTTCTCAATTGTTCTGTATAGTGATTGGGAGCTGCTCAGAGTTTGATTTAAGTTAGGCAACTATGTAAGTGTTTAAATAAATAAAATTATTGTAACAAAAAAGTTGATATATATACACAAACAAGGAAAGACCATCAATATTACAGTATATTAATGGTAATGTATTTTATCCTCCCTGGTTTAAATTTCTTAACAACAAGAGCAATATGATATTTTACCATCCACTTCAAGGATCCTAGATAATTTAATTAAATAAGGTAATGTATACACTGCATTTAGGTTTTCTTCACTGTGTTATTAATAAAAATTACTGTTAAAGAAAGAGCACTAAAAACAGGAAACACCTATTCTTTTAAAAACAAATGAATGAAAAAATCAAAACTCTGTAGCAGAACTGTTGGGGATGCAATCTATTATTTTCCTGAAAGGAAACATTATTATACAATAATCTTGTATTAGTTCGGTACCTATCAGCATGTTACAAACATATTCAAGTGATAGGAAGAGAAATTTTACTCTATTCTTGTTTTATATTATTCAAAATATGGTTATGTAGAGCAAAATAGATCAGTCACAACATTTCCCCCCCTGGAATTTCTTAACATTATTCATTTTTTGCCA